CTAGCTCCCTTGAGAGCTATGGTCTTCAACTTTGGTGACGGCTCCTCAACTTCACGTGATGGCACTTCCTCCTTCTCCTTCCCCTTGAGCTTCTTCTCATGCACTTTGAGCTTTCCGATGAGGCTATCAAGAGCTAAGGTAGTGAGGTCATGAGCTTCCTCAATGGCCGTAGCCTTGGGCTCCCATGCCGGAGTCAATGAGCGAAGTATCTTGTAGTTCATCTCTTGAATGGATAATTGCTTATCTAGACCATGTAATTCATTGATGATATTAGTAAAACGGGAAAACATAGCATCAATGGATTCATTAGGAAGCATTTTAAATAGCTCATAATCATGCATGAGTCCACTAATCTTAGATTCCTTAACTTGGGGTGTTCCTTCATGTGTGACACATAATTTTTGCCAAATTTCGTATGCGGTTGCACACGTGGAAACTCTATTATATTCATTAGGGGAAAGACCACAAATTAAGGCGTTCATAGCCTTAGCGTTGAGATTAGCTAGGTGCCTTTCTCCATCGGTCATGTTCCCGACTTTGGACTTTTCTTCATATTTCTCTTCTATGAGCTCTAGAATGTCAAGGTCTATGCAACGAAGGTAAATTCTCATCCTAGCTTTCCAATAAGCAAAATTAGTGCCGGTGAAGAGAGGTGGCCTAGTTGTGGATTGTCCTTCTAGCATATGCATATTCAAAGATGCCTCCATTAGATCTTTTCTCTAAGGTTGTTAAACCAAAAACTGATATAGAGACCAAGCTCTGATACCAATTGAAGGACCCTAGAGGGGGGGTGATTAGGGTCAAGAGGCTCTAATATGCAATTAAAATTCAGTACAAACAAACCACAGTAACAGAAGTGCAATAATAAAGAAAGAGATAAAGTTAGGAATCGTTATCCTTGACGCGCGATGTGTTAACGAGGTTCGGCCCGCTGACCTACGTCCCCGCTCCCCACTCTCGAGGAGAAATCCACTAACACATCCGGATGCGATAAAAGTAAGAGAGATAAGGTTAGGAGTTCGTTATCCTTGACGCGCGATGTGTTAACGAGGTTCGGCCCTCTGGCCTACGTCCCCGCTCCCCACTCTCGAGGAGAAATCCACTACACACCCGGTTTGGAAGCCGGAACTTCGTCTACACAGCGATCTCCACAGATCTCTCTCACTACACAGTTTGATCTCAACAGATCACACCCTCACAGTAGATCTTACACAAGATCTCACCCTCACAGCAGAAGAAAAGATGCAAGACTCTCTCTTTACACAAGCCCCTATAGCAAAGAGAAGAGTACTGAAGCTGAAAATTTACTCAGGAAACAGAAAAAGCTCTCAGGTTTTTCAAACGTTAGGGCTGAGGAAGAAGAAGAGGTCTGGGGGGTTTTTATAGAAAAGTTTAAATCATTTTAAAACAAAACCCAATCTTCCTAAATGAGATAATAATCTCTTCTTCAGACCCTCATCACAGACTGTGCCAAATACTAACAAGTGAAAGTACAGTAAACGATGTAAATGACCGTTTAAAAAAGTCGCGGCTGACCAGAGGCAAAAATCGGTTGACCGAAGAGAATTTCGGTCGACCGGAAAAAGCCTTCGGTCGACCGAAAAAGTGCTTCGGTCGACCGACCGAAAAGTTCGGTCGACCGCGAGCAGCTAAGGAAAATATGGAAAACAAGCAGAGACTCATCGGTCGACCGGCGCGGTCGACCGATTTAAAGATCGAAATTTCGGTCGACCGTACCGGTCGATATTTTGTAAAAAAACGCTTAAAAGCACAAGTCTAAAAACGTGTGTGTGATTCCCAATAGCTTCAAGTAAACTCAGTAACTCTTTGCCTACATTCTAGCACTAGAGAGAAAAACAAAAGAAAGCTAATATCCTCATATAGAGAGCAATATACTTGAGCTTTGATATAGCTTGAATCGGATGAAGCTTTTGATCGAATTTGTCGTTCTTGAAGTAACGTTGCTTCATCTCTTGGCCTCCTGCTCCTTTGGATATCATCGTTGTAGCATATATTCCATCCATCCTCCATTAATGGCACTAACGAGCTTGACAAATGAGTTTACTACATTTACACTCAATAAGCCATTAGTACCGATAATGGTGGTTGTAAGAACATCATCAAAACATAAGGGCTAACATTGGGATCCTCCATCTCATTGATTCTAGAGAACATTTACAACTCACTAATATGTTTTTTCACTCAGTGGACCCCAAGATTGTTACTAATTAAATAAACTATATAAAAAATCTTTTACTTACAGGACCCATTAGATGAACCAATATTATTCACCACTTAAGTAATTATAACTATTCTCTATAATAAAAAATATATAGAGGATCTCTTCTCAAACAAACTAGCATATTAATATTGAATGATCCATCATTAGGATATGAAAAAATTATCTATCCCATTAGTTCGGGCAATTCCTTAATTAGTAAGTGTACTAATTCAAACAACCAAGTAATTTTCATCTAGAAAAATAGATGAATTACAAACTCTATACTCATGCTAGATTTTTCTACCAAACGTAAAGAAATGAAGCACAAACTCCACTATGTACGAAATAAATTATAGGCACGTCAACCTCGGATAGAATCATGCTGATAACCTCGCTCAGCTTCAACTTCTCCTTCACTGCCGAGTTGCTGATTGTGGTCACGCAACGTGCCTAACTATCTGGCAACTGCGATAGTATCAATAGGGCTTACACTTCATCATCAAACATGATGTCGACTGAGATGAGTTGATCAACAATCATGTTAAACTCGCTGAGATGCATCGAGAAGGAACATCCTTCTGCCATCTTGAGGTTGAAGAGTGTTTTGACGAGATGCACATTGTTTGCAGTTGACGGTTGTTCGTATATCTTTGCGAGCGTTTCCATAAGCCCCACCGTCGTCTTCTCCTTTAATATATTATGGGTGACTGTTTTTGCGAGTGGCAATCAGATCTGCTCTAGAGCCTTCTGATCTAATATTTTCCAATCCTCGTCGATCTCATCCTTCTTCTTTCCTTTTGCTTTACCCATCAACGGACGATAAAGATCCTTTTGGTATAGATAGTCCTCCATCTGTGGCTTCAAGTAGGCGAAGTCTGATCCGTCAAACTTCTCAATCTTTGACTTGCCTTCTTCTACTATATCTCTCACACAGATCTAATCTGAACCAAGCTCTGATACTAGTTGTTAGGGATTCGTACTATCGACAACTTATCAAATGAACCCTCTCGTGGAATATGCCCTTCGGATCTTGTGTTGAAAGAAGGCAAGAAGAAATCACAGCAAATAAAAGAAAACTTTGTAAGGAAAAAATAAAAGAGAGAACACCAAAATTTTAACGAGGTTCGGCAACTTGCCTACGTCCTTGGGAGCCACACAAAAAATTTTATTTGAATATTAAAGAAGATTACAAAGCTTGCAAGAGATGATCTCAAACTCCATGAGATCACTCAAAAAAGAACTCTCTTTTTATTTCTTAAGGCGCAAGATTTTTCTCTGAAAAATCACCGCTAAAGACGCTGCAAAAATCACCGCCAAAAAACGCTCTGGAGATCACTCTGGAAAACTGCGTTTAATGACGGTCCGGGTTCTCTATTTATAGGGAAACCCTAGGTCAAAGCAGATTAGGAATTTGTTTTCTGCGAGTTCGTCTGACTGTGAAACTCCCCTGTATGACTTATGTTCGCCTGAATATAGTCAAGCTCGCCTGAACTACTTCGCCTACACTTAGAGCTTGCCTGCACTTGGAGTTCGCTTGAACCTCTAAAGCTCGTCTGAACTACAGGTTCGCCTGACCTCAGCTTCGAGTTTCGCCTGAACTTCCAAGTTCCTATCAAGTTCGCCTGAACTTCCAAGTTCGCCTGATTTCTTAACTTAGGGCCCGTTTGTTTGCACGCAAGTAACTGTGAAATAGCAGAAGTAGAGGAAGTAGATGCTACTTCTGCTACTTCTAGACAAAAATATATGTTTGTTTCTCTTGAAAATTTACTTCTGCTACTTCCTTAAATAATAATGTGGCGCCTACGTGTCATCTCTATTTCCTTAATTTTTTTTCCGTCATCAAAGCTCTGAAATATGGTGGAAGTTATATAGGGTTGGGTCCACCGGAAAAAAAAAACGCTGGTGATTGTTTTTCCTGTTGTTTCGTTCTGTTAGGCATGAATGATCCCTCTTGAGTTGTGGACCAAGATCAGAAGTGCATAATACACAAGCGAAAATGATCCCCATTGGCCATTGGTGCAGCTTGACCAAGATACTAAATTAGCAACCAAGAGAAAAGAAGGAGAAAAAAACAATGTCGTGCGTGCTGCTTCATGATCTTCGGCACCAATAATTTATATCTCCGTGTCATACCCCTTGATGCGAAATGGAAAGAATAATTTTATTATATATCATGCAAATCAACTATGAATATTAGTCTCTTCAATTGATGACAACAACAACTCTATTTATATTTCAATGACAATCTAAACAAGAATAAAATAGAAGCAACATGTATTAATTACTTCCTAGTAATATTTTTACATATTATCCAAACAAAAAAAGTAAATAAAGAGGAAGAAGTTTTACTTCCATTACTTCTAAAAATATATGAAACAAACAAAAAAATGTTATTTCCGCTACTTCCTATTTCATAATTTTAAAAGTTACTTCCATAACCTACTTCTTACTTCCAATACTTTCATTATCCAAACGGGCCCTTAGAGAAATTTTTTCTTTGCATGCTTGTTCTAAGGTTTGGGTCTACACCCAAAACCAACAAAAAGTTGTTATAAGTAACTAATAAAGGAAATATTAATTAATAAAAAAGTTATTTATTTTCTAATTAATATACATTTCAACTACTGCCGAGCTACTTCTGAGTATTGATGATTGAAAAAATATTTTAAAAATAAAAATGATACGTAGACGCCACATAAATATTTAAAAAATATTAAAAATAAGTTTTTTAGAGAACAAAATGAACTTTTTTTTGTTTGGAAGTAGAAGAAGTCTTACTTCTTTTACTTACCATGTTCATAATTACTTGCTGAACACCACGCCCGGCCGACAACCAAATCTAAACCCATCTCGTTTGAGAAAATATATTCAATCAAAATCGCGATGAGATCCTCGCCATCGCCACTGCCATCTCCATCTCAACCCAAAATCTAATAATGGACATGAAGCGAATCAGAACCCAGCGGCATCCATCTCCAAACGCCCCCCTCGATCTTGAAGAATCAGACGGCGCCGGTGCTCGAGCTCCAATGGAGAAGAGACCCAATTTAGGAAAGCTGCGTTTGATAATCGTTTTGGTTGGATTCTTAGTCCTTCTACCTCTTCTCGTCGCTATCTCGGGGTTCCATCGAAGCTTGCCCCTTGATCAGCTCCAGGGAGCTGCTGAAAGGGGCAAATTTGAAGTTAGAACAGAACAAGGTACGATTCTGTTATGAATTTTAGTAGAAAAATTGCAATGAGGTTCTGGGTATTGTCATTTTCATTAGATTTGTGTGACCTTTTCTGGATAGTATTTTCTAATTGATTTTTCTGCGTATACGTGATTTAAGGTAGATTTATATGTATGATGGCATTGCAAGTTTTCTGCGTTTTCTCATTATAGTCGGATCTGTATGATTCGCTGAGTTGGCTTCGGTTTGAGATAAGGCAAAGTTGAGATTATCTTTGATGCTTTTGAGATCTATTATTCCATTGAGTGAAGTAGGTTAATGCTAGGGTCCATTTAGTTCCACATTGGCTAAATGGGTAGTCAATTTGGATTTATTAGGGATTTGGTTTCCCTCCGTCAAACAACTAGCTTTTACAACTGGTAGCAGAGTTGACCGATCTTTTCAGTTGCAATCAAGTTACGCCGGTGGTGATGCGGTATAGCCGTGTTTGCCCAGGTCTAGTCTAGTACAAAGCCAATCATGCGGCACTAAGATTGCAGTGTACGATGAGAACTTGACTAGTGCACTGCCAGAGCGCGTAGGCATCGGGACTGTGAAATTATGGTGTGCTATGTTAGGGTCCATTTAGTCCCATGTCGGCTAGATGGTGAGTCAAGGCGCGGTTTGGGTTCCCTCCTTCTAACAACTAGCATCTATTGGTGAGTTCTTCTCTGAGAGGGTTTGTGAAGACTAAAACTAATTTTTGAAGCAGCATCAATGGAAAATGAAAAGAAATAAAAATACATTTCTACCAGTTTGCAGGAAGATCTGGCTAGAAAAAGCTGCAAGTTGTGATAGTCTTGAATAGGGATTGACATGTCTCTAGTACAAAAAGTTTCTTTCATCTGTGTGGATGTAAATTAAAGGATTTTTTTTGTTGTTTTTGTTTTAGCACCTTTTTTCTCTTTCTTTTCTTTCTGGATTTCCATTTGATCCAAATGTTTCAAAAACCTTGCTGATCTACTCATTTTTATGTACCCATTCTTTAGAAGCAGCTTCTTTTTCTTGCTTTTCTTTTATCTGTCTAACAAACTCCTACAAGCTTATATGAAAGTAGAAAGAGACCTCGAGAATGAAGGAGCAAAATTCCCATCACAAAGGGACACTTGGAACAGACCTCTTGTTATGTATATAGGAGGGACACTCAGTTACAGAACTCTTGTTATGCATATAAGCTGACAACAAGGCTTCACATATCACGACAAAATGCTTTCACGTCCTAAACTCCTCATTTTGATATCATTGTGCTTTAGTATGTCCTTACATATTTATCCAAAATTTTTCTTGTCCAGAGCATACCGAGAGCCTCATTTTCTAATTTCTTGGCCCAAGCTTGATGGTGTTGGCATGTCAAAATATTAATTACTCCTACACATGGAAATTTGGGCATCTACTGTTTCGTTTGTTATGTGCCTTGGAGTCATGTCCATCAAGGTTTTTAGCTTTCTATAGGAGATTTTATTTTCTTCTACTCGTCTATAATATGCTTGCTTAACATATCACCATTGAGCTTAATAGTTCAGGTCGTATTTTAAGTAGTATTTCTTAGCAATAATCACTCAGTGTTGTAGAAGAGAATCATTCGATGCCAACCTGGTAGAACGCATTGCAAGTCTTTGTGGCATCTGAAAACATAATTGATGCAAATAATTCTCAAACACCTTTTGATCTTCTCGCAATAACTCATAAGAATGTTGCACTAATTAGTACAGAGGCCATGCCTCATCTTCTTACTTTGCCCTCCTGTCTGTCAAATCTACCAGTTTACTTATTAGCAATTGACCAAATAATAACAATAGCTTCTTCGTAGATTGTTATTGTTTTTCAACATCACTGTCACAGTTTTTCTCCTGTCATTTCTATCAGCACCTGTAATCTATTTTATGGAATTAACCACTGCAAATGTTACTGTAGAGACACCATAAGGTTTTGTTTTATCACAAATGTCAAATGGACGTGTGTCAAGTGTCAACTTTGTAGCGTCTACTGCAAGAGCCCTCAAAAATGGGAAACAGAAGCACAACTAGCTGTGTAAGTGAATATGCAAATATATCTTTTCTATGCGGATTCAGTACGAGCTGTTTAGTCAAAATTTGAGAAAATTGGCTAACGCTTCTACTTCATGTTGACTGAAAATCTTTCATGTGAAGAAATGTTGTAAACATGTTTTGGATTATGCATTTGGTTTCCTCTTTTCCTCTTTTTTTAAACCCTAACTACCCTCCTTCCTTTCACCTCGTTATTTGGTAGCAAAACCGAAAAGATCAAACAATTGCAATAATGACATCAGTCTAGATTTCAAGATCTGTCCACATTGATACAGTATCATGTTCGCTAAAGGGTTGTTTCCCTGTGTACCCCCCACATTGTCCATATTTGCATATTTAACCCCCAATCTTTATAATTGCAAATATTCCCCTCAAATCTTTACTTTGAGTTGTCGTACCCTCCAAATGCAGCAGAGTTTCTAAATTAATGGTAGAGGGGTCAATTGACCAAATTAACCCCTTCCCTCCTCTTCCCTCAAAATTGGAAGCTGTTTCTTTTTTCCCCAAGACCTCAAATCCCTGGCTGCAACATCTCCAAGATGATATGAGATGAACTACATACAATAGTATGCTATCTCAAAGTTAGCCATCAGTAATTAACTTTTTACAATCTAGCTAGCTATACAATGCTGTAGTTCCCCTTAAGGCTTTGTTGATGCTTGACCAACACACAGCAATATCCTGTGCAACACTTTGGTGTGATAGAAGAGCATTATTTCAAGTTTTCAACCATAACTCTCTCTGGTGCAATGAGATTGCAGTTCTGTATCTTGCAAAGCCGATGAACGACCACAATATTAGTCCTTCCAACCGTTACTCTCTCTCTGGTGCTTCTTAAACTAGTTTCTCAAAATGGTTGTCAAGCAATTTAGTTAAACTGAAATTTGTGTGATTAGGTGAGAAGGAGAAAGTTGGGAACTTTTGGTAGCTTAATGAGCTAATGGGTGAGAAGAAGAAGAAGCTCTTCTTTTGTGACAAGCAGTAGAAGGCAAGGGGGAAATGAGATCAAGAAAAAGGATCAGAAGAGCATTTTTTTGGAATAGAGATTCTAGAGGATTTCAAGAGGAAGAAGAGAACAGTTGGGATTGTCAAGTGTTTTATCAGTCAACTTTGGAGCTTATTATCAAATTTCATCTCTTTGGGTAAATGTCTTAATCTGGATCTGTGGCTCATAAGGGGTGTCAGAATAATGCAATTTATATCCTCAAACCTTCTATTTTCCTGTTTTAAACAGTTTTAGAGGGTTATCGTGATTTCATATTCTAAAAATTCAATGGTTTTATGAAGTCATTTACCTTTTTCTGTGTGGTTTAGGCTTCCATTGCCAGATGCTATTACTTCTCGCTTCTATTATATTACAGTTTTGTGTAGTATTTCCTCCTTAGACATTCACATACACTCGTCATTTCTTAATGGACCCATCTCTCTTGGAAATAGTTTATTTGTGTGTGCACAAATTTTAGCATTGCATGTTTCCTTTACTCCTAGCAGAAATGTAAAAGCTATGATGGACTTGAGGCTGTATGCTATGAGCTAGAATATTGAATAAGTGCATTCATATCCGGTTAGAGATTGCTCCAATTGAGGATAAAAGGAGAGAAAACCGACAGAGGTGATTTTGCCAAGTGCAATTAAGACCACAAAATGCACCGATTGGAAAAGTGATAAGATCATAATTAATGGAGTAAGGCGGACTAGAGATTTAGGCCTAAAAGAGCTTGGAAAAGTGATAAGGTCATAATTAATGGAGTAAGGCGGACTAGAGATGTAGGCCTAAAAGAACTTGACTTAGGGGAAGAAAGAGTCCTTAGTAGAACAGAAGGAATAACAAATTCATGTAGTAGACCCCAAAGTTTGAGATAAAAGGCTTTGTTGTTGTTGTTGCATGTTGCCTTTTCATCCATGCTAGCCGCTACAGACTCCTTTAACAATCTGAGAGACAAAATTAGCCCATTTAAGGTGTAATTCATCTTCTAGTACTTGCCTTGTAATTGATTTGTACTCGGGTATTTGCTTATTAGTTTTTTAAAATTAACTTTGCAGTTTACTGTTGTCACCTCAGTTTCCTTTCTGAATTTCCTGTCCTTTCCAATTCATAGGTTCTGAAGAAGCTTCTTTTGCTCCTCCCGAAACCCCAAAGGACACACTCCTTGGTGGCTTACTTGCTCCTGGATTTGACCAAGATTCGTGCTTGAGCAGGTATCAGTCTGTTTTCTACCACAAGGCCTCAAAATATTCACCTTCTCCTTATCTCTTAGAGAGGCTACGGAAGTACGAAGCTCTCCACAGAAAATGCGGTCCAAACACCGAATTATACAATAAGACCATACATAAGCTCAAGTCTGGTCAGTCGACTGAGACAACAGAATGCAACTATGTGGTCTGGATATCACACAGTGGCTTAGGAAACAGGATACTGACTCTAGCTTCAACTTATCTCTATGCCCTTCTCACAAACAGAATCTTATTGGTTGATCGAGGTGCTGACATGGCCGACCTCTTCTGTGAGCCTTTTCCTGATATCTCATGGCTACTTCCTTTGGATTTCCCTCTGAACCCTGTTAACAATTTTAATGAAAAGTCGACTGAAAGCTATGGAATCATGGTGAAGGATAAAGATCTTAGTGGGAAATCTCCACCTTCTCATGTCTATCTCCATTTAGCTCATGATTATGGTGACTTTGATAAGCTCTTCTTTTGTGAAGCTGACCAAGATTTCCTCAAAAAGGTCCCTTGGCTTGTTCTAAGGTCAGATAACTATTTTGTTCCTTCTCTTTTTCTTATACCGAAATATGAGGAAGAACTGCATAGACTTTTCCCACAAAGAGATACCGTATTCCACCATTTGGGGCGATACCTTTTCCACCCTACAAATATAGTATGGGGGTTGATAACTCGATACTATGAAGCTTATCTAGCCAAGGCCGACGAAATTTTGGGCATCCAAATCAGAGTGTTTGATATTGGCACTGGCCCATTTGAACATGTACTTGACCAAATTATTGCATGCACTCAGAACGAAAAACTATTGCCAGAAGTCAGTAAGAACAATGTAGCGACTCCAACCACACCTGTGAAAAGATCAAAAGCCGTTCTAATGACTTCTTTGAGCTCCGGGTATTTCGAGACAATAAGAAATATGTACTGGGAGAATCCAACATTCAATGGGGAGATAGTTTCTGTGTACCAACCGAGTCACGAGGAGTACCAACAGACAGAGAAACAAATGCACAATATGAAAGCATGGGCTGAAATGTATTTGTTGAGCTTTTCAGATTCATTGGTTACGAGTTCTTGGTCTACATTTGGCTATGTTGCTCAGGGTCTTGGAGGATTGAAGCCATGGATTTTGGTGAAACCTGAGAATAGAACTACACCAGATCCACCGTGTGGAAGAGCTATGTCGATGGATCCTTGTTTTCATGCTCCGCCATTTTATGATTGCAAAGCGAAGAGAGGGATTGATACTGGAGCTTTAGTACCTCATGTAAGGCATTGTGAGGACATGAGTTGGGGGCTTAAGCTCGTTGATACAGATGAGTGGTAGCTCTTTCTGTAGAGAGATATGTTTAGGTTGTATACTAGAATTAGACTTCATAGCTTTTAGCTGTGTTTGTGTATTAGAATGAGTTTGTTTTGAGTAGAAGTAGTTACAAATTGATGCGTAATTTGTGATGTTGAGATCCATTCCACGATGTAAGGGAGTAATCTTGTATAATCAACATTTTGGTAGAATTTTTGCTGCATATTAGCTTTGAAGTTAATAAGCCTATTTTGTGGTCTTTTTTTCACATTTTTGTGGCTAGAGCTTGTGAAAATCTTTGAACTGCTTGATTATGTATGAATTGAATACTAAGGTAATCATATTTATATTCCTTTAAATCTTTGAGTACGAATTCAAATTTGAATTCTATTCTTCAAAATTTAACTGGGTTTTACGTATGTCCTTTGAATATTTGTTGAATACCAGAATACCTTTGTTTAACTTCATATTGTATGGATATGGATATGAAGTCATTTGCTAATTAAAAGCTATTCATTTTTATTGATAATGTACAGCTTTGTAATTTGAATTTTAAGGTTAAAAAATTAATTTGGAACTCTTAATCTCTCAAAGTAAGTGTAGAATCTTAACTAAAAATATAAAAGGGACGAGCACATAAGTTTGTGTATATAATGTTAGAAGTCCAAGAGACTAAACCTCTATCAAATTTTTGACTTAATATTTGATAATGAAACAAATCATATATGTGGATGCTAAAAATTATTTGATTTCCTTCAAACAATCTCCCATGGAATCAAATATTCGATTTAATATTTGATAAAGAAACAAATCATATATGTGAATCCTAAAAATTGTTTGATTTCCCTTAAACAATCTCCCGTGGAATCTGAACAAATAATCAGACAAATAATTACGCGATGATATATAGCGGTATGCGAGGTGAATTGTTGAGAATAGCCTCCGCACATTTCGCGCCCGGTTGGAATTAGCGAAAGAGTGCAGGCTATGTCGTCTAAAGATTGGCGTCTCAGCATAAGATTGCTGGTGACAGTATCTTTGCGCTTGGGGCCAACGACGCAGCTAATGAGGTTATAACCGTGGCTCGTCAATTGCTGGTTGAAAACTATTTCCAAACCCCCTCCTCCGCCCTCGGTTCCGCCTTGGGCCATTGAGAATTTCTGGAAGGGCTCCCTCTAACCCAGGATAAAGACCTAAAATGCCTTATTTTTTATTTTTCTTATTTCTAAATTAATTTAGCGTTTATCAAATTATTATGACTACTTTTTAATCCTCATTGTGAGATGCAATATATTATCAAACTGAGCCTTTTGGTATTTTCAAATCATATCCATTTCTTTAAATATATGAATGGCTAAATTACCATATTGGTATTTTTTCTTGACCCTTTTTTATCATTTTTTTTGTTACGGCATCATTTCATTACTTTGACTTGGTCCATTGTGCAAATCGACCAAAAAGTAAAGTTGGTTGCTAGTAAAAAAAACCCGCGAATCGCTGACGTGGAGTGTATCGAAGGATAATTTTTTTGGTGATTACGGTTAGTTGAGGCATTACGGTTAGTTGAGACATGTGAGAAACACGTACTCCTCTCCCTCTTAGTTTCATTCAAAACTAGGGCAAGAAAATAGGTTATGACTTAAACCAAAGTTCCCTCTCTTCGACTTCACCTTCATCTTCTCCAAATTTCTTGAATATTTGACATGTCCTCTTCAAGTGCAAGCTCAAATTCATAGAGACGTGGATTGAATCAAAGAAATTCTAAGAAGATGAATGTGAAATTGAAAAGGAAATTTTTTTATTGAAGTCTTAACCTAAATTCTTCTCATAATTTTGAATGAAATTAAGAGGGAGGGGGAGCACATGCTTCTCACATACTTTAACTAACACGAATCACCAAAATAATTATCTTTTAATACATTTCGCGCCAGCGATTCGCAGGTTTATTTGACCGACGGTCAACTTATGGATCAATTTGCACAATGGGCCAAGAAAAAACACCAAAATAATGCTAGCGTGAGAAAAACAGAACCAAAGTGGTAAAAAGGGTGAAGAAAAAAATTACCAAACTGTAAACTTAGCAACATTTGTCTTCAGCATATCCATTTACAACAACTCTTTGTCCTTTCGTAAGAGAAAGTATTTGAAGGCAATGAAGTAAGAAAGATAAATATGAAAAACCCACCTTCACTTGACTTGAAGATATGATGGCAATTTTGGACCCGACCCGTCAACCGATCCGAACAGTTATTTATGGGCCCTGGTCGTGATATATGGGTTCGGGTCATTTATGTGTTGACTCGACCAACCTGTTTATTAGTTGGGTTACTTCGGGGTTTGACCCAAAGCTACTCGTCTAACCCATTTATGACCTGGTTATGCTTAAGGGGCTGTTTGGATACCTTAACGAAACTAGAGTATTTATGACATCATATGAAAAGTGGTTATCCATCTCACCACTTACCATTTGAGTATTTGCATTGTTTGGTTAGGAATCATTGTGAATCCTAAAAAAATAGTATTACATTATTTATATAGCATAATGTAAACTTAAAAAGTGAAAGTTATGTGTACCTTATTAAAATGTTTAATTTATAATGGATAAGATCACCACCATGATACACAAAATACTCTAATAGTCCAATTTATCTCTCCTAACTAGTAGCAATCAGAATGATTAATTTAAGACAACTCATAAGAATGGAGGGACCTTATTGTAATTGTTAGCCCTTATGTTTTGATGATGTTTTACAACAACCATTATCGGTACTAATGGCTTATTGAGTACAAATGTAGTGAATTCATATATCAAGCTTGTTAGTGCCACAAATGGAGGATTGGATGGAATATGCGCTACAACGATGATATCCAAAGGAGGAGGAGGCATAGTGATGAAGCAATGTTATTTCAAGAACAACAAATTCATATAGAAGCTTCATCCAACTCAAGCTATATCAAGACTCAAGAATTGTATTCTATGTGAGGATATTAGCTAGTTTTTATTTTCTCTCTAGTGCTAAAATGTAGGCAAAGAGTTATCGATTTCGCTTGAAGCTATTGGGATATCACACACACGTTTTCATACTTATGTTTTTAAGCGTTTTTTATAAAATACTATTTCTTACAAGTATGAGGACCTATTTACAAAATTCCTTTTCTAAACAATTTGTTTTTAGTATTAAAAATATTTTACAAAGTTTCACAATTTTCAGAAGTCAAATGAATATTTTACAAATTATTAAAGTGTGTCAAAATCAGGTTTTTGGAATGTATCAGAATGCGGTCGACCGCACCGGTCGACCGCACCTATGTTCATTCGTCAGTGGGCAGCAGAAAGTTTGTCGGTCGACTGTCGCGGTCGACCGAGAGCTCGTAATTTCCATCGGTCGACCGCACTGGTCGACCGAAGAAGTCTGCTTGTTTTCTAAGTTTCGGATCAGGATCACGGTCGACTAAAAATTTCATCGGTCGACCACCAAGTGTTTTCAAACGGCTCTCTGTTTTCGATTTCTACGCCGTCTGCACAAAATCTCTTTGCGATTGTTTACAGACTGTGCTCCAGATTTTAGGGGATTAGTTTTTGAGTTTAGACAGCTGGTTTTCACCTATTTAAACTCATCTTCTTCCTCTTCCAAAGCTGTCCCAGCTTTTGCAAGAACCAGAGACGTTGTTTTCACTGAGCAAAATTTTCAAACTTGTTCTTTCTGTGTTTTTGTGTGTTCACTTCCCAGCTTCAGTGTGCTCTTTCTCTTTGCCATAGGGACGTTGTAAAGAGAGAGTCTTACACCATTTCTACTATCTTGAGAGTGTGATCTTGTGTAGATCAATTGTGTGGGAATAATCTAGTGAGATCAACTGTGTAGTGTGAGATCATGAGGGGATCGCTGTATAGACGAAGTTCCGGCTTCCAAACCGGGCTGTGTAGTGGATTTCTCCTCGAGAGTGGGGAGCGGGGACGTAGGTCAGCGGACCGAACCTCGTTAACATATCACGCGTCACAGGATAACGATTCCTAACCCTATCTCCTCTATTTTGATTGTATTAGAATACTGTGGTTTGCTTGTCTTAATTTTATTGTATAATTATAGCCTCTTGACCCTAATCACCCCCCTCTAGGGTCCAACAATTAGTATCAGAGCTTGGTCTCTATATTAGTTTTTGGTTTAATCACCTTAGAGAAAAGATCTTATGGAGGCTTCAATGAATGTGCATATGTTAGAAGGACAATCCACCACTAGACCACCTCTCTTCACCGGTAGTAATTTCGCTTATTGGAAGGCTAGGATGAGAATTTACCTTCGTTGCATTGATCTTGACATCCTAGAGCTCATAGAGAAGAAGTATGTAGAGAAGTCCAAAGTCGGGAACATGACCGATGGAAAAAGACACCAAGCCAATCTCAATGCTAAGGCTATGAATGCCTCAATTTATGGTCTTTCCCCCAACGAATATAATAGGGTTTCCACGTGTACAACCGCATACGAAATATGGGTGAAATTGTGTATTACACACGAAGGAACCCTACAAGTTAAGGAATCCAAGATTAGTGGACTTATGCATGAATATGAGTTATTTCAAATGCTTCCAAATGAATCTATTGATGCTATGTTTTCTCGCTTCACTAACATTATCAATGAATTGCATGGTCTTGACAAGAAATTAACTATTCAAGAGATGAACTACAAGATTCTTCGTTCATTGACTCCGATGTGGGAACCCAAGGCGACGGCGATAGAAGAAGCTCATGACCTTACCACTTTACTCCTCGATGGCCTCATCGGAAAGCTCAAGGTCCATGAGAAGAAGCTCAAGGGGAAGGAGAAGGAGGAAGTGCCCTCACGGGAAGTTGAGGAGCCATCACCAAAATTGAAGACCATAGCTCTCAAAGGATCTAGTGATTACTCCTCTCCGTCATCGGATAGTGAAGTGGATTTTTCTAGAGAAGTGGCTCATCTCTCTAGAAGAATCTCTAGACTCATAAAAATGAATAAGAAATTTATCCCCCGATCTAACAACAAATTTCCTTCACGTGTAGGAAAATGTTTCGAATGCAATGAACCGGGCCACATTGCTAAGGATTGCCCCAAGCTCAAGGAGAAGTACATGAAGTACAAGAAGAAGAAGGCTATGTATGCCGGATGGGAAGAATCCGAACCAAGTGATTCGGATAGTAATGAAGAAGGAGCCAAACTTGCTCTTCATGACCCCAACATTTGTTTCATGGCCCATGAACAAGAGGTAATATCCGAGATCGAAAGTGAATCTTTC